TCGGCGCGTGAACTCAAATATTTAAACAGAGACTACGCGGACAACGCGAGTGCAGCGCGCGGTAAATTTCCGCGGATCATTGACAACGGAAGAGCCTGTATAGGTCGCGAATTACGGGCTGATTTCGGTCCCTCGATTTCTCTCAATGACGGCATAATTTCCCGCAAAACGCTGTATCCCCCTCTATTTCTCTATCACTCTATAACTCTCAATTGACCTGTTCAATCTTTGTGAGAGAAGAACCTGTATCAGATCTAGTTGATAAGTTCTTGTCATTTTATCTCAACGTCTCTGAGATCTAAGGTGTTGGTTGAACGTAAATTCTTAAAGGTTTGAGAGACCTATGATGTTACTTGAGGGACTGCTAAGCGATAAGTTTCGCTTTTATGTTCTTAAAGAAATCATTTTTAGAAGATTTACAAGGATTGTGTTTTCTCTTTCTTGTTAGACTTGGTAACAAGACTTTTCGATGTAATCGATTTCTTTTTATTCCAAACTTGTTTTTGTGTTTAAGTAAAAGTTTTAATGAAGCTTTTATGTTAAAATAAAAGTTCTGAGGAAACTATCGAGTTTTATTACGCAATACTAAAACTTCCAAAAATCGCAGGAATAATTTAGGTAAAAACTAAGTAAATCGTAAATTAAAACAAAAAAGTCGAGTCTGTGTGACCACTTTATCATCAGCTTGATCCAATGAGATTCTTTAGCGGTAACCAATTTATGAAAACAATAAATAAAAATTGGCAATAAATTTGATAAATGCAAGTAATTCATAAAATACAAGAGACCATGATTTTTAGCGATTTTTTAAATGTAGCCCTGAGAGATTTATGATGTCGAAATTGCACGGATATTATTCTCAGGATTAAACGTGCTCCCTAATACGAGACTCTCCTCGCGGTTTGTCTTTCAGAAGATCCGACCTTGTCGGGGCCTCTGTGCACAAACACCGGTGAAATAGCGACACGCAGAAAAGGTGAAAAGCCTTTTCACCGTCTTTCACAGTTTCCGCGTGACATTTTTATAGCTGCCCTTTTATAAACAGAAGATGCAGCGGTAAGGGACCATGGGAGGACCGTTGTGTGTTACAGCGCGAGGATGTTCTCTACGTCGATGCTTTTCAAAGCCGCACAATTTCGGAACGCCCGTCGGGGACCGTTCTCGATTTGAAGTTATTCGACAATCCGTCCGAGGAGCCGTCGTCCCCGTAGCTCGCCGTAGTGTTTTCGGTGACTGTTCTCGTGACGGCAGCGGCAATATTTGCTCTTTCGACGAGCGCGCGCACCTCCCGACCTAATATAAGACGGTGGAAATGAGAAAATTGGCGAATTCCCGCCACTCGCTCCGCTGCTCCGGCCGTGCCTTTTATTTATTTAAACGACGCGCGCGTTTTATAACGGCGACGTATATTTCCGCGGAATGGATCGTGAAAGTGCCGTGGGATTGTGCTTTGGCAGCGCCGCTGCCGTAGCGATTTTTAAATATGTAAAGTGAGCCACTTTTGATCTCTTATCTGCCTACGTGTCTTCTCGTCGCACTTGGTGGCACGTGATACTCGGGAAGAATTCACTTATGCTCTTTGGAAAGAGGAATTTTTATTTAATTTTCATGCAAAAAGATGTAACAGAAAAAAGTGCTAGAATCCGATTTTTACTTGAACACATTAATACTCTAATCTGTAAATGAATTATTAAATGTGTAACATGGTTCTAAGTTAAAGAAAGCACTTATCACAATTATGTAATACTTCTTTTTAGTTGAAGAAATCTAGTTTTAAACCCTTAGCTGACACATGTCAAAATAATAACGTACGTGCTATAGGGGGTATTTTGGACCCCAGCGAGAAAAAATGTGTATAATTGTTTTATTTATCAATATTGGATCAAGCCTCGACTAATACTAGGTGACGCCACAGAACCAAATTTGGCGCGCAGCTATGAAAAATTTGCGTTCAAAAACACTCTGGGGTACTTTTATCCCCGTGTGTCAGCTAAAGGTTAAATTTAGACTTTTCTGTCCAGTGAATATTTTCCAAAAATAAATTTTGATATTTTCAATATTTTGAATTTCATACTTGTAAATATTAGCGCTTTCTCTTTTTAATGTGTGATTGGAAGTAATTTTTCAATTTTTTTTCGTAATTTCGAGGTTTAAAATGGAAATTAATTTTTTCTGATAACAGAAAAAAATTGTAGTTGATCGAGGACTCTTCTGTGTTTAAAGGTTCATATTTTTCCAATTTAATTTTTATGTAAATCAATTATGGCTCATGTATTAAATGTTATGTATATTAGAGGTCGAATGTATGAAGTTTCTGGCGTTTTCGATGTTGCAAACTGATGAAAATTTGAGAACGGTTTTGAGAATAGCGCGTTTCCGTCGCAGCATTGCATTAATGTAACTGAATTGTAATGCTAAGGTAACATTGGCGGTACGTTCGTGATTCGGCAACAGATTGGGTGCATACGCGCGTACTCGAATAATAACGTCGTTAAATTAATCACGCATTGTCGTCGGCACACGTTTGCGAATAACGAACAGGTGACGCGGCAGGCAGAAGCAGATCTCTACATCGGGACTAACAGCGAGATTCGAGACCAGATTAATTATAACATATTCGACTGTTCCTAATTAATAATACGATATTTCGCTGCTCACGGCCTGCAATCGCGAACTTTGCAATCTTTATATTCGAGGCCGATCGGCGAATCCGACGAGAAGGAAGAGGATGGAAAATCCGTTGTATTTCATCAAAATCATTCGCGGTTTACCTAATTAACGAAGTTAAAAATATAACAACGGTTAGCGGTTTAACGAGCGTGTATTTCATTTATATCCATTTACACCGCCGCGTCCACAGGGAATGAATTCGCGCGTCAAACACTACGCGTTGCGATTTTCGCAATTTAATTCGCAAAATATCCGATACGCGAGATGAGTTTACACTTGGCGAACGCGGCGTCGCGTGCAACTTTGGAAATCGAAGATATCAAATCGCGACGTTAATATTGATATAAGTACACCTACGTAGGCACATAATTCGGGCGGGCGTGCGGAGGTGGGTTTGTTAACCGAGAAAAAAAATACGAACATCGAACAAACTAAAAAAAGAGAGCAGAGCAAAGCTGAGCGGAGAGAACTCTCTGCGTGTATGTACATATATTCATATCCAGCGTGCTATATCGATTTCCCGGCGTATGTGCGTGCACTCTCTATGTTTAATATGGTAGCGTCTGTTGTATGTGAGCGAAACATTCACCACGGCTGATTTAATATTAAAACTTTCCCGGTATCGCCCGGTGAGATCGCATATTGTATCCCCGTGTTATCGGCGGTGCGCATCTATTTTCGCGCCGGTGAAGTTACTGGATTCCTCGCGCACACGGAGCGGCGTAATTCCGCAATAATGCGAAGTCAAATGTGGCTATTGAATATCGATAGACCATTCTGCGGTTGCGGCCTTCTAAGATAAGAAACGAGTATGTGTGTGTTAACGGCTCGGTGTAATTGATGTGCGAGGACGACGACGTGTCGATTAGGATCACGGTCAGGGATAACTATCTTTCTCCCTCCCCTGCTTGTTGGTTATCCGTCCGTTTGCAAGTGCTATTTTCAGCGTATTTTGAGAAAACGAAATAATTTCTTCTCCCTTTCCAACCAATTTTCCGAGATGTAACTATCACGTTCCGGAAAGTCATCATCCGTTTTCAAATCTCGATAACGTTTCATCCATTTATGCACAAAAGGTTTCGCCTTTTTCATGTTTTTAGCCGCTTCTCCGAGCGACATTTTCTTCCCTTTTGAACGCACAGACACAAGAACACCGTTTCAAAGCGTACGCGGCGCTCATTTTGAAAAACATTCACAACAATAGCCGGGCTGCTGTTGCGGTCTTTGGTAGAACGCGTCGTAGGATGAGGGTAACCTATCTGTTTTTCGGAGAAATTCCCGGTACACAGGTTTTAGATCAAAGTTTCGCCGTCTACGCTTATCTTAAATAGACTGCGTGAGGTAAATCTCGGTCGATGCGAAATAAACCGCTAAGAGATTCAGCTCGAGATCGAGCTCGACACTTGCCCGAGTTCGCTCGAACAAACAGCTCGAACGAATCAAAGTCTTCGGTGAGGTCGAACGATCTTCACTTGACTCGCCCTTTCCGTTCACGAGGTTACACACAGAAGTTGGAGCGAATTTGGCGTTCCTCAGACGCGAGGCTCTTGTTGATGAAAATGGGTTCCCCGACATACTTCGGTGATTACTATCGATGGCCGGCCGTTATTGCTTGTACAAACCACCGATCCGACGAGGAAGTTCTATGTCTCGCAATTATACGACATTGAGAAAAGGGAAGATTCGGCGGTGCCATCGTTAATGAAATTATCGCGCAAAATTTTTCGTTTTATCAAATAAGTTTCCACCTTAACATAGACGCCCCGAGAATTTAAGCTTCGTTGCCCGCTTGACTTAGCGAGCATCGGAAGATGTTATCGCTTCGTTAACTACGTATTGTACGTACACCGCTGCGGTTGCGTCATAGTATTCTCTCTCTCTCTCTCTCTCTCTCTTACCACCGTATTATCTATCTCTCTCTCTCTCTCTTTTCCCGCCTGCCTGTAACTAATCTGCAAGCTGTGTCGAACTTTCGCGAGGCCGTCGCGAGACTCGTGTCGATGCACGCACATTTTCTCCCCCTCTCCGTGAATTTCTTCACTCCTGACTTTTAAGGCTGCAAGTGACCAAGCTCTTTTCACGATGTTGTACGATTTTGGATGTATTGTGTGTCGCGTGTCGGCTTCTCACGGAGCCGGCACGCAGTGCCGTTTGTTATCCCCGATCACTGTCTGGTGTCTCGAAAAACCACCCCTGTTGTGTGCGCGCGCGCGCGTATATGTGGTTCTTGCGCACGCGAGAACACGTGCCTGCGTCTACATACCTGATTAATTAATTACTGGTCTTTTTCTGTTTCATGCCTCGTTTCACCATAACGATCGGAACCACAGAGCGCAGTTAGAGTAAGTATGAATCGACCGATGCGAATTTAAGGCGACATTTTTTAATGAGAGATCCATTGTTCTATGCTGCTTCATTTAACTTCTCTTCCTATTCTTCTCTTCCAATTTCTCTCTCCCTAACGGATATTGTTCACCGTTCGGCGCTACCTTCACTGCGTAAGTAATTCTATCTCGTCAAAATTTCTATCAATTTTTCTGGCCTTGCCCGAGCATTGGTGACTACACAACGCTCTTTCTCTCTCTCTCTCTCTCTCTCTTTCTCTTTCTTTTTCTCTGTTGTCTGTAGTCGACGTTTGTTCGCAATGAGCTCTATATTTCTCTATTTCTCGGCCTGTCGTCTGTGCCTGTTGCGTATCTTTGTCGAGTACCTTTCACGATCCATACGAGAGTAGTGGGTAATGCTTTCTGCTCAATCGTGTTCAGTCTCGGACAGAACTCGGAGAGATCGAACTGCGTCTTATATCTCACCCCTCGGACACACCGCTCTCTGTTGTTTTTGGCCTACGTAAATACGCTAATACACGGACCGGCATAAACCGTTGGGACGAACAGCTTTTACCAAACAAACGTATGTTGTTAACGTTCCGCATATTTCATTGTTTTGCAATAGTTTACAGAAAAAAGCCAAAAGAGAAACAAATGGCGAATACATACTTGCTCGAGTGCGCGAACAATACGCAGGGAGCAGCCACGCCCCCGTCGACAGGTGAAGACGAATCTCGCGCGGGCTCCCCGCGGAAGATCTGAAGAGGGAATTCGATTTCCGTCGATCGAATTTGTCTTATTTCCCGTTCGCGCTCGAGCGCAATATTGGGCGCGATTCACAAGCGGCGCCCGTTTATAAATACGCGAATAAGCCGCCAATGGAACTTCTACCGCGGAGTCATAAAACTTAGTTCCGAGCGAGCGTCGTCCCATTCAGCAGCGGCCGTGCATATCCGCTTCTGCCGAGCCCGAGGCTGGAAGCAACGTGTTACATCTCTGTTTCCGTTATCGCCCGACACGATTTACCCATTGTATCCCTAACCTTTCACAAATGCGCTTACACACGCGCGGGCGTAACAACAGCGACGGTAGTTTGCGTCTCGCGCGTGTAGAATTTGCCGCGTCTGATCATTTATCGATGCGGCTCGACGGGATAAGCGGATCCCTCGTAAGTTTCGCCCGAAGGCATAATTAAACGAACGACGACGACGACGACAACGTCCTAACACAATTCCCCTGAAGACGCGAGTGTTGCGCCAAATTACCGATGATGAACACTCGCGCGCGCGACGTCGTGCGGTCGTCGACGAGCGTTCGATTCAGTCGAAATCGCGCGGAAAGTCGACAGCGTGCGTTGCAACTACGTAAACAAGTAATCCACGCAACGTTTGCGCGAACGAGAAAAAAAATTAAAAAAAAAGGAAGAAAAGAGGCATTGATATCGAAACTATTTCCCGCAATTTTCCGGGGAAAAAGATCCGTCGAATACGCGCGTCATCCCCCGCGGGAATTATTCTATATTGGAAATATATACGTCGGCGCTCTAATTGTCGCGGTTGCGATTGATTAATATTGCCGACGCGTAATATGGAGGCAATCGAATCGCGCCGCGCATTCTGTCAATATATCGGCGAGTTTCTGCTTGCCCGTTCAGTGTGTGCGTTTACCCTCTTTGAGAGACGACGAGTCGTCGTATGTGTCGTAAAATGTGCCGTTTACGTTCGACGTTCAAGTTGGTGAATGTGGGATTTATGTACGCGTTTACGTCCCTCGTCACGCGGTGGAGCGGAGCGGCGTCTCCATTAATGAATCGCTTTTGCACGCTACGTGACGAGAAGGAACGGTCATTTAAATTTATACAGGTCACCGGCGCACGTGTACTTTTCTCTCGACGGTGGACTCAGCGCGCGGACTTATTCTTATTTATGAACGATGGATAGAGCGGGTCGCTTGGTGAGATCGCGATGCCGATGTAGTGTCCAGCGTGAACCAACACTTGGGCTGCACAATTTCTAAAGTCCGCGGGGCCAAAGTCGCAACGCGCGCAGCCGTGTGATAGCAAAACAAACCATGTATCCAATGAAAGGCATCTACCTTTTTCCCTATATTTCTGTACATATTTCATGCCTCATATATTTATTTAATGTAAATATTCCACAAAAAATTGATGTAATAACAACCACAATTATGCATGGATTGCTCTTGAAAATATCACGAAAAATATATATAAGTTTGATCATCATTTTATAAAGATTATATGATATGTATTTATTTTGTTTTTCTCTTGTATTAGTATATATTATGTACAAATGATATTTTATTTACAATATCTCTATATAAATTTTCCGAATTATTTTAATTATTTTCCGTTTAGGAACAGAAAGATTCTTGCAAGAGATTTGCCCTCAGTCGACTGCTCTCTTGGTTATCTCGAGCGAGTTTCAACGCTCGGCTGAATGTTTCGCACGGATGTGCTCAGTCGTGTCTCGTTTCTTGCCGCCGAGTTTTTCCGCAGTCGCAGGAACTGCGAGATCGCTCGTGCGTTACCGTGGCGATCGCGGCGAAATGCGCACGCGCGAGATTCTCTTATTTTCGCGCACAAATGATTACCACCCACGACATCGTCGAATCTCGCGTCTCTCTCTCTCTATATATATATGTGTGTCCGTAAATCGAAGTTTAACTCAGCGGGCGAGCCAATGAGCATAAAAAATGTATACAGACGTGCATAATCGGGATGTCATTGAAACTCGCGTTCATTAGCGCGCGCAACGTCGACATCGTCGAGTCGATCGAACGGAAGTTAGATTGACGAGTACCAAACACATCTCCCCTCGGTGCCCGCATGCTATCGATTTCGCTTTGAGTCGCGCACGATACACACGTGCGTTTGTTTTTCTCCCGTCGTGGCTCACAGCCGTCGTTTCTGTGCAATTATCCACGCTCCGCACAGTCGCGACTGTCCGCTGGTAAACAGCAACTATTAATAAGCTGTCGACGCGACGGAGTATCGGTTTGCGTGCCCGGATAAACGTTGTCTCGATTAGCGGTCACAGTTGCATACGACGCGTAGATCACGCGATAAGATTCATCTGGACCTCGCATTATGCTTAACACACACACGTTACGCAGAAACGTATCGTGTTGCACGATGTCGGGTTGTTGATAAATAGGTGGACGTGACGAGCTGGCGATACGATCGCGAATCACGCCCGAATCATCATTCAAAGAATCCAGCCATTGGTCCTAAGGACTAATTCACTAGGCAGACTTTTTCTATCCAATTGTTTCTGCTCTAATTACAAATAATTTGGTTACACTAATTAAATTTTATCGCTATCACAATGAATTCGTAGCAACGACAGTTTCGCTACAACAGCAAAATTATTTTTCTCTTGTATACCGCAGTTAAATTGATTAGCTGCTTGTAAAAGTATTAGCCTAGATCGCCTAGTATAGTACTAAAATCATACATTCCCGGCTAGAAATTTATTGCTTTCTCTTTAACAGAAGCTGTCCGTTAGTGTATGTTGATTTTGCCTGAATTTAGCCATTTACTTGATTTAATGATATATCGTATCTGAAAAATACGTTTAAGATAGTTGGTCTATGGGTTAACTTTCTCAGAACTGTATGTCATATTTATAAATATTTAGCACAAATTTATCGAGCTTCTTTGAGAAGTGAATTAACCATTAGTTTTCTAACAGTATTGTCATGGGCCAACTACCTTAAGCACTAATGAACTCGAGACCTCTGGATCGTGAGTCAATCACCTTAGGTACTACGTCACTTCGTCGGTTGATGTAAAGGTGTCACATTGTTTATATATCGTATAATCAGGGAGAAAATGCACAGCTAACCAACTTCATTTATTCATACTAATCATTTCTGCTGACAAAGTTATACCTCGCAGCAAGTGCATTTTACCTCCAACAGCCAACTTTTAGCAATGACGGCAAATTTCGAACTAGCTAATGAGACTCAGCTGCTGTTACTAAGTCATTTCTCCGAGTGCAGACGAAACAGTGAAACACCGTTGAATCTTTGTACCGAAAGAGAGGAAAATAAAAAACAATGAGACTTTCTCGGCGATATGATCGTTCTCCTTCCACGAGGGAAGTTTTACACAACGGAAATGCATCTTAAGTTACATCGAGAAGCTTCCCCACATGAACGGTTACGTACGAAGAATCATAGAGTAAAGATAGGCATGGCTTTATCTGGAAGTACGAGCCCCGTTTACGATGGTAATCATTAGAGTTTAAGAAGTAACGGAATGAAGAAACATAGTTGAGGGCGAGAGCACATTAACATTTCCTCCCTTTTCGGAGGAACGGGATAACAGAGATGAACGTTTTCAACGTGGTGATGGAAGGAGGGCAAGAAAAATCGGCACGGACGTAACGCGACAAATTCCACATCTATTTTTCAGAACGACCGGCAGTCCGGCCAGCAAGTCCCCGGCAAGTGGCAGCGGCGGTCCTGCGAGCGCTGGAGCAGGTGCTACCGCGACCCCCGGTGGAGGTGCCAGCAATGCCGGAAGCGCGGAACCTCGTACGCCAACCGCCGGACCGCAAAATAAACAATTGCAAAACGTCAAAGGAGAACACCCCTCGGTAAGCAGCAGCTCCTCGTAAAGCTCCTTGTTCGTGGATTTATTAATCGCACATGCGCGTCGAAACAGAGAATATCGCAACCAAGTTGAAGTTAACTTCGTGGTGAGAAACACCACCGCGAAATGTTTAATTCAATATCAAAGATTAATGTTCTTTCTTTTTTTCAATTAATATTCGAATTTTTAATTAGTACACTGAGAGAAAAAATATCTAAAAAGTAATAAATATATATTCGATAGGTACTAATAACATATATACATATATTTACTTATATTAATATAATATTTGTGCAGAAAATAATTTTGCTGTTGTAACAAAACGTCGTTGCGACAGCGACAAAATTTAATTTGCATAACCAAGAATCAATGCTCTTAACAAATTTTCTTGCTGTCCAAAACGAATCTTCTTGCTGCCGCTATATTGATAAACACTTTACTGTTCTAGCAAAATTATTTTCCCCGTGCGTAATTTTTCATGGAAGCGTTTATTCTTGATTTAAATATATTGAGTTTTAATTAAATGTATTTTCCGTTACCACCGAATAAAAATTTTCTATTTTTTAGATATTTTTTCTCTCAGTGCAGTAACCGTGATATCAAAGGCTGAGTAGCAAAGGTATAATATCATAAAGTTCTCAAGAAGTATGATAATTACCGACATTACAATTACCAATTGTAGGACTGCAGGGAATGCATAACAGCGTTATCGTCCTTTCACTGCTCATTTTTCTAATTTGAAAGGGCTCGGAGAGTAATGACGTTAAAAGGCGAGGTTGAGACGTTGCGTTCTCGCAACAACGTGCGCGAATAACGGCGTGCCCGTTTAAATGCGATTTTTGAGAGAGGATCCTTTTAGACTGGACTCTCTAATCGCATTTCCTTCCGGGATATAACGCTCCGAAGATGGATCGCTCTCTCCCCGGAACAAGGGAACGATTGTAACGATCGCGTCCCCGACGGCGCATGTTTGTGTCTGTTGCAGAAAGCGTTTCTACAAAGTAGGTCCATCTCTCTGGTCGACATGTACATCGATAATTCGGAACCGAGCGAGAACGTCGGCCAGATCCACTTCAGCCTCGAGTACGACTTCCAGAACAGCACGCTTATACTGCGCATCATACAGGTCAGTCCAAGTTCTGCGTCTCGACGCGCCCGTTACCTCCCCTCGCTGTTTGCGCACGGCATTCGCACGCATCGATCGCGAGCGGAATACCCACGTGTTCCCGTGAGAGATCGTAATAATAACGCGAAACATACACACGCAATATATCGAATGCTTGCCGTATATATAGAGGTCGTGTTTAATTGAATAATAATGAAAGCGAAATTGGATCTCCATTATCATGATAAAAAAAAACAGTTGCACATTAATTGACGAAGTATGTGTGTGTGGAACTAGGATATATTTCCACGATTTCACCGATTGCGCCACGCCGCGTCTGTAACGCAACGTATCGCGAATAACGACAGGTGTCTTACAAATCCAGCCTATCGGCTTTCCTCCGGCGCGAAATTTTGCCGCGTTCGGCATTTTTCCTCTTTTCACGACCGTTAAGTGTATTCGTCGTGTCGTGCATTTCCTCTTGTAAAAAGAAAAAGATGCGCGTGTGAACGCGTATCAGTCGACTTCTTATTTCATATCGATGCCGATAAATCGCCGGCGAGACGCAACCCGTTGCACCCCACGGAAAACTGGGGCGTCATACATTACTCCTCCCGTTATATCGGAGTCTCTCGAAACTCATCGCGCGACTGGTTGTTCCGGTGGAAAAATAAAATCCGGTTTTCGCCGGGCGGAGACTTGTTGTAAACAGACGCATAAATTCCCGGACGTTAGATTTCGCCGCGCACGATTTAATCCGACGTTAAGTGAAACACGGCGGTAACCGTTCCACTGTTTTCTTCGCGTGTCGCGTGCCAAGAGTTGCGCAGTGTCTAAGCGCACCGTTTATACGACTGTATGTTAAGATTGAAAAACGTAAGTGTGTGTGCGTGTAATGGCCAAAATTATGTCATATTATTTGCTGATCTTTACTTTATGCTCACGCGCGGTTATTTCAAAAGAAACGTTTCATTTTGTCGTATAATATTTCGAAAACTATCGCGTAGAGAGATTCGCTAGAAACGAATATTTAATCGGTTCATTGTGTTAAATTATTTAGTACGGAATTCCGATGAGCTGCAAGCTCAAATCTGTAATATTAAATTTTCTAACGAAAAAGATTCCCTTTCTATTATCGTCCGCGCGACTGATATGAAAATTTCACGTGGTGCGGAATCGCGGAACAAAAGTACATAATCGCGCTTCTAACGCGGCGCGTCGAACTGTGCGAAAGTATGAGGAGCGCAAAACGGTTCCGCTCCGTCTCGTCGCACCGTCGATCTTGGCGAAATTTCATAATATGCGCAATCTTATCGCGGAGCGTATCTCCATTGTTCAGGTAATACGGTCAATTTTCATACGCGAAATATGAATACGTTTTCCGCAGCTAGCGTGCATTATAAATGGCCCGGGATGTATCTTGCGACGAGAGAGGAACTGCGCTTGCTCTCTTTCTCAACCTTTTTAAAAACTTCAATTTTTATGAGTTCCCGTCGCGTATCTCGCGGTGCGAAAATTTGCTGGCATCTCGAATAATTCAACCGAGCGTCACAAAAGACGTCGCGTTTTTACGGGGCGGGNGGGGAAGACGCTCCGTGAACTCGAAAACAGAAATCTTCCATACGGAAAACTTGCGCGTACGAAACGTTACGAAATTATCCATGATATTTATGTCTCCGCGGATTTTAGCTGAAGACATTTCAACTGTTTTATAATATTTATGGACATTTCTCTTCACTTTCTTATTACATAAGAAGTCCCAAATCTCTGGAATTTTCGCACGGTAATTCCAGAACTCGCTCGCAAAGTTTTACGATATCCCATCTATACACACACACGTATACACGTGTGCTCGGGCACACAAACTCATTTCTCGCGGAGAAGTTAAGTGGGCATAATGACGTTATGAAGTTGTTTAGAAACGGTATGACAGGCGAATGAAAAATGATCGTCCAACTTGAACATAAACACCTTCACGGTCACATTGCAATTTTTTAGCCGGACAGGCCGTTATCGAAAGTTACGAACCGAAACGAGGCTCCGAGACTTATTTTGCCAAATACGAGCGGCCATCAGGCCGTTGAGAGCAGTTATCGATTTTGTTTGCCGTCCACGAAACTCCTATTAACGACATCAACTTTGTGCACAAAGGGCCTGCTTACACGCTTCGCAATCTGTTTAACGCAAGGACGGTGCTAGTTACATCACGTGAGGCTGTTGCGCGCCGCACATTTACTGAATTGTCTTACCTGTGTGTACCCACCCGAAAAGCCATGACACCCTCGCGAGATGGTGTTCCGCACAATGGTGATACGCAAAGAGCCCTTTCAAAGCCTGTCCCGACAGATGGTTACAGGCGTTACACGCGCCGCTTACAAATAGCGAGAGAGAGAGAGAGAGAGAGAGAGAGAGTTTATCGCTGCTAAAGAAATTTACATGTCACGATTTATTTCAGGGTAAAGACCTGCCGGCGAAGGACTTGTCGGGCACCTCCGATCCGTACGTACGTGTTACGCTGCTCCCGGACAAGAAGCATCGGCTCGAGACGAAAATCAAAAGGCGCACATTGAATCCGCGATGGAACGAAACGTTTTACTTCGAAGGTGAGCGCGATTCGACCACGCTTCGGAGTTGACATTAAGTTAAAATCGAATTAAATTAAAGAGCTCAGACTAAATTGATCTTAAGAGAGAGAAATAAGTAGAGAGAGATTTCCTTTTTGTTCCCTTCGAGGAACCCCCGGGAGAGGGAGAATAAAAGTCACGAAATTTATCAATCCTTACAAGTATTAGGTGAACAACTTTGCTCCCGCTGTTTCCCTATAGATGGCTTTAGTAGAACTTAGTGGTCAAAGTAAATAGATCATATACATCATACAATCAACTTGGGCATCTGTCAACATAACCTAATAGTTACATTAGTCGATTTGTATCTGTACCATAAAGTTATCGTCGATTGAAGATGTCAGTTTACGAGCCGAATTCTCGTCATTTGCGGGAGGTTTTACTTTTCTGCTTCAATATGAAGAAATCTGCGGCTGAGGCTTATCAAATGCTCTCAAATACCTATGGTGAGATCGCTATTAGTGAAAGAACGTGTCGTGAGTGGTTTCAACGCTTCACGAACGGTGATTTTCACGTCGAAAACCGGCATAGCGGTGGAAGAGGAAAGATTTTTGAAGATGCTGAATTGGAGGCATTACTTGATGAAGACTCGTGTCAAACTCAGAAAGAACTGGCACAATCATTGGAAGTGACTCAACAAGCCATTTCGAAGCGCCTCAAAGTCATGGGAATGATTCAAA